CTGACCAAATCCACCCGGTAAGAATTTGGTTGTTATGGGGATGAATTAGGATTTATCCTGAAGAGAGAAATGAAAAATTTAAAAAGGAATTTTGATCTACAGATTCCATGCAATTCCGATCAAAATCCTAGCAAGCTTTTTTTTTTTTTTTTAAATAGACATTAACAAGCCAATACTACAATTTATAAGCAAAGGCAAAGGAGCTAGAAGAGCCAAGATTCTGAGGTCTACGTGGGTGGACAGGCAGGAGCAGAGGCAGAGGGCAAGGTGGGTGACTGTCCAGCATGGCTGCTGACGGGTGAGGTCCTGGGGTGCCTGTCTCCAACACCGCTGGAGTCCCATTTCCTCAGCCACAAACTGAGGAAATGCACTGGCCGCACTGTGCCTCTGGGCAGACAGCTGAATCTGCTCAATGGCTTCTGCAGCTGCACCTGCTCTTTCTGGAAAGCCCGCACCCAAGCCAGCACCCTGCAGTCTGGGGTTAAACCCACCGGGGTCTGGCCCCCTGGTATGAGGCCCACGGCTCTGCTCTGCCTGCCCGCGGCTCTAAGCCTGTCCAAGTCGGGAGAGCCCGCGTTTCCTGGGGGCTCCCAGTGCTGGCACGACTCCCCTCCCAGCTAAGGCTGGGCTTCCTGGTAAGCAAGGGAGTGACTGAGCAGCAAACCCTGCCAGGTTAGGGACGCTCAGAGAAGTGGAGTCCACCTGCCCATCTCGAGGTGCAGCTGCAGAAGCCAAGCTCCCAATCACCAGGAGCTGCTGACCATTCCACCTCGCCCTGCTGCCTCAAAAGAGACTGAGCAGAGAAAAGCAGATGAGCCGCACAAGCTGAAGCAGAACCTAATTCAATGTCCAGCATGTTTGGTCCCTGGGCCGCCGTGAGCAAAGGCACAGGGGCCTGAACTCGGCCAGTTGGTGGGCGCAGCATGGGACTTCGGAGGGGTCTGTGCTCCACCACGAATGGCCCGTTAAGGCCTAGCTGGCGAGAGGGTCTTTCATCCAAAGCTCATTAACAGGAACCTGGAACTGTGTCTCCTTCGTTTTCTTCTTCACAACGTTTTTATCATGAAACATCTGAAGCACACGGAGTTCAGGGAGTAACACACGTACTCAGCTCCCCCAGAGGCAACGAAAGCAACATTTTGCCATTTTTGAGAGAGTTTAGTTCCCCCTCCCTCTTTTTTTAAAGAAACAAATCACATTTGAGCAGGCTTCCTCCTGGCTGCCCCAGCCGCGGTGAGCTCCGCCGCTCCACGTGTCTGCTTACACTTCCGCTGCAGCTGCCTCAGCGCCCCTGACCTCTTACCACACACTCGCCTGCTTGTCAACAGTCTGGCTCCCTCTAGAGAATGTCACTCCACGTGGGGAGAAACTGTTTTGCTCACTGTTGCCTCCAGGGACTTTGAACGATGTGCCCTTCGGACAACCAATCAAGTCAGTTCTTACTGACTGAATATTATGCACGTCATTGTGTGTGCTTCCAAATTTGACATAAATGTTCCTGCCCTGTATGTCTCGACTCTGCAGCCTGCTTCATCCTCCACTCAACACCGTGTTTGAGATTCAATCGCACGATTCCACATTCAAGGCTCGACATTCAAGTCTACCGTATGACCCACTCACCCACCTGCTGACCAATGAGCTGCTCTTTTTCATCAAGGAGAAGGAGAGAGACTCGAAGTCTCCTTCAGCAAAGCAAAGACAGCCCAGAAATTAGGACTCAAGGCCCTAGCCAATGACTGAGAACCTAAGAATAAACTAGAAGAAAACCAAAGGTTCTCTCCACCATCACCACAGAATGGGGAAAACTGCAGGCACCCCTCTCCAAAGCGTAAAACGCTAGGGTCCCATGGCAAAGGAGCAACCACCCGGCCTTTGTCTCTGTCACCAGTGAGGGCCCCCTGAGGTGCTGGGGGCGCTAAGGCCCAGCAAGAAACCACAAAGCACAGTGCCAGGGTGCCAGCGTCCCAGCACCGCCACTTAGCCTCCCAGCGAAGCTGCTACCATCTCTGAACCCGAGTGAGGTGGCAGGGGCCCCACAGTGTACACACACGAGCACGTGCGCACACACACACATACCCATGAACTTGAAAAGGCCCCATCCCACTTGAGAAGGGCTCCTGAACAAGAATGCAAAGATGAGGGGCCTGGGGTGGGGGGTTCACTCACACTGGCAGAGGCAGCACAAGGCTGTGGCAGTCAGGAAGGCCTCTCTCTCTCTGGGTGTTGTCCCAGCACCCCCTAGGGCGCTGTCCCTCCCCTCCCGCTGCACTCCCTCAGCTCCCCAAACGAGCAGGTACCTGCACAGGCCCCGTGCCTGAAGCAGACTCTCAGGGCTGAGCACAGGCGGGAGGACACGAGACCCCTGGCACGCCAGGCAAGGACATGCTAGTACACATGTAGGGTGTCCCCAGCTCTCAGACACCAACCACATGGCCTCTCCCCACCCCACGCGCTGGTTCCGAAGACATTTCCCAAGAATTTTTGGTACAAAGCAGCTGCCAAAACAGCTCTGTGGGGGTTCAAACCTCACGTGCCTGCAACCGTGGGGGAAGGAGCTGTGTTCAGGTGACTTAGGTTGACTCAACCAGGTGACAAGATTTGGCAAAATACTCTACATGAACTACTGAGGGGGACGGGAGAGCAGAGACAAAGAAGGAAGCAGAGGCCTCTGTGCTGACTCTACAGAAAGACTGACGTGTCAAACGGGGAGAGGAGGACAGAATCCCAGGCTGAGCTCAGCACCGAGAGATGACACCGTCGGGACACGCTGAGTGGCCGGGTGGTTACAGGTAGCCAGAGCAGCCCGGCCCGGACCGGACAGCCCCGGCAGAGCTTACACACCAGCGAGTTTGGACCCGATTTTCAGCTGCTACAGAGCCGTTCCAAGCAAGGGCTTTGAGAAGTGAGGAGACAGACCGTGAGGAACAAAAGGCCGGCGGCTAAGAGCCAGATGGCCAGTGGGCAAGGGGTGCAGAGAGGGCTCCAGCGAGGGCGAAGGGTGAGGTTTTAGGTCGGACAAGGTGGAGAGGAAGGAACAGGAACAGGAAAGCGATCTGGACGCAGAGCTGGGAGGACGTGGGAAGCAACAGGGGCTGGAGGAGAGCGCAGGGCAGAGAGCTGCGCGCGGGGCCTTCCTTACCTGTGCTTCTCGCCTTCCTCCTCCCCATCTTTGAGCTGCTTGGCCTTTGGCTCCCCATCCTCCTTGTCCTGCAAAAGAAGGGAGAAAACCACCTGCTCAGATGAACGCTCCTATTTCCAGTCCATACTGCCCAGGCAGCAAATGAGGGACAGGACATCTCGGGAGCCAGCCACCCAGGCAAGGAGCAGCTTGGCGTTCCAGCCTCTGAGTGGGCACATGCCTGCTGCAACAGACAGGCACGATGCCGAAGCCTCGCCCCTCGCCCCTCGACACCTGGGCAAAATTCAAACACCCATGACCCCAGCCCAGGCCCAGGGCCACAGTGGCCCCAGAACACTAGCAGGAGGAGCCGGAAGGTTTCAGATGGCGAGAGTGAAGCTGGTCGGTGCCACAGAGGGCGCACACTGGCAGGCCGCCAGCCTCCTTCGTGGGTCTGGATAGAGCCACCACTGAGCTGGGAGACTGGGAAGGGCAGGCACCAGCAATCCAGGAGGACCTGATTCCCATCCCGGGCCAGGGGCCCCTCAGAAATGTCTGCCTGGTTCCTTAGGAGGAGCATAACTCACACTGGGACCGGGCTTATAAGACTCATCCCTGCAATGTACTCAGGGGGACAGAGGGAAGAGGAACTAGTTTCCGTGGGACACATTTCTTCTAAATCTGGTTTTGTCTTCCTCCTGCCGCCGACCTCTTTGTAAGTCGAGAGAAGTCAGGTGCATCTCAACCCTGATACAGGACGCTTGCTCTCCAGGTGCACCAAGGGTCTCAACAGAAGGACACCACCACACTGCTCTGCAGCAGAGGAAGCCATCCTGGGCTTCCCCGCTCACTATGTGACTGCTGCTGTTGGGTCAGTCACCCTGGGGACAAATGAACACGCAAGGTGTGCGCATGCGTGTGTCCGTGTGGTTGTGTGTTCGAATGTGGTGACCACACCCTCAGTGCATTGGTGAGCCCTGTCCAAGATCTCCCTGCACGTCAGAGGTGGCCTTGCGGGGGGGTCCATGTGCACTCCGTTTCCGCCATGACCTGCCTTTGCCTTTGACCTTTGCCGGAGCAGTGCTCTGAGGCGGCATGCGTAAGCCCCAGGGGCCACAGGGGACCTGCTGTGATGAAGATGAGAACAAGCTCGGACTGACACATAAACCAGAAGCTAAACAGCTGTGCGTCCTGCCTCTCCTAGGTGTTTGTGTATGCCGCTGACAACTGCCTCCCCGAGAGTGGCATTCGCTCTGAGTCACATCCTGCCAGTGTTCACCGTGGAGACCCTGAGAACACCCAGACCCCGCCATTCCTTGGCCACACATCTCTGGGGGAGAAGACCACCGAAACCAGGCTGGAGGCCTGGCCCAGAGAAAGGCTTCTGAGATGTAAACAGATGAAGATGCAGCCCTCACTCTCCCAACCCAGGGCAGCCTGGTCTCATGGGACAAGGCGGCAGGAACGAGTGACAGCCGCTACATGAGAGAGGTCAACATGGTTCTGGGGCGCATTCCTACCGAGGCATGGGTAGATGTGGATGTTACCAATGGGGACACAGAGGGGGAAAAGCCTGAGCAAAGGTGGGTGGGGTGTGGCCTGAAGAACATGTAGGTGACTGGAGTAGGTGAATGCTGGTAAGAGTGTCAGGGCAGGTGGGGCCTGTCACAGAGGGCTCTGGCCAGTGTCCTAAGGCAAAAGGAGCCGGAGGGGAGACTGGGGAGCTGCTGGAGTGGGGATCAGTGCTGGGCAGGGAGGCCCAGGGTGGAGAAGCATTCACCTGGGATGGCCAAAGAGGGAAGGAAGCAGAACACAAACTCGTAACTGACGAATGAGGGAACTCCATATGGTTCCCGGGGCTGCTGGGGCGGAGTGGGGGGGGAGCCTTCCACAGAGGACACTGAC